CTATTCTTTAATCAAAAAGAACCATGTCCCACTGAAACAAGTTTTCACTGCAACAAGTGACACTGCATCAGAATACTCATCTTTTATGAATTGTAGAGCTTATCTGATTTGAAACATCTATATTGGATGACTTTGCATCTAGACAAGTTACTTAATTGAAGATTTACAGTCCACTAGCCAGCTAAAATGCTGACATTTCCCCCACTGTCTGTACTATTGTCAGGCCAACAGGGCTGCCCCAGGAATAACCAGCCCAACAGCATTACAGATTGGCCTAGAATAGACTTGGCATCACACACAGACAGCACTATCTAAGTATCTTATCGCTGCAGACTTAACTTCACAATGCACCATCCTAATCCCTATCCTAGTCTACAGTACACGCCCCTTAGTCATCATGCACCAACAAAGTTACAAAATACATACCAATATAAATGCAACATAGACAATACAGGTATAGACATAACAAAATTATGAGAAATAGGTCAAACAAAATTTCAAACAAATTTTCTCCAAAGTAAACTGATTCAGGGTCAGGGCAAGAAAACATCTAAGAAGACTTTCAATTTTATTTGTAAATGTACACATACATGTACAGCTATGACAAAAGGACCGAACTTGTCATGCAAACCAGCATGAATTTTCCCTGATGTATAATTTTGTTCAAAAAATCATATTGTCATTATGGCAGCAGATACTTACTCTTAGTATACCCTTTCCATCAAAAAGTTGAAACACCCTTAAGTTAATAAAGATTATTAGTGTTTTAACTTTTAAGATTCCTTTCTTTGTCATCATCATCATCATATTATAATCATGGTCACCACATATCAACAGCTACATGTGGGGGGAGGGGTGACGTTGTTGTCTGTTGTCTCCTGTCAGCTGCTAGTTGTGCCGGGTGTGCCCTCTGGCAATTACTAGTAACGTAGTATGGCCTGCAATACAACTTTGGTTAAGCTTGTCTGAATGATGTGTAGCCTTGCTAAACCAAGCTTGACTCCTGCCACAGGAAAGGTACCACGTTATGGCGAGAACCTTTCCCATGGCCGGATACGTGTCTGGTATATAGCAACAAGCCAAGGTTACATAATATGTGCTTGGACTTGACAATTTTCTAGGTCTCTACGTGTACTTACCTTGTTTTTCTGGGGAACTTCGTCATGTTGGGGAAACGTAAGCTCTATGTCACTCAGGTCGTCTTCTGTGTCATCAAACTGTGAGGATGTTGTGCTGGTGTTCGAAGACTTCCTCCTGTATACATAGTCTGGTGGAATGTCATCATCGTTTAAATCTACATGTACACCCCAGTTTTGACCATCAGTGATGACCTGACAGGTGTCTTTATCTGGACCGCAGTGGTCGCTTATGATAACTTCAGGAGTTACATGAGTCTGGTCGTTATTAACAATGATTCCATCTACTTGCAGAGTCAAGTTTCTTTCCAAACTCACAGTAGCTGGTGGTGTCGTTGGATCAAGGTAGTCCGTACCAACGTATTTTTTAACAATTTCGCTGGGGGACATGTTCAATGGTGATTCTGAAACCGATTCGTTCAAGTCTGTTGTTATCGTGTGATTCTGTACATCCGTAACAACATCACCGCAGCTTTGGACAGTGTTCGCTTTAGAATCCTTGTTGTTGCTGTTGAGAAAGTTGCAGGGGCTTGGACTCCCCGGATCTGTGCCATACCCTGCATCCTTATCCGATTCATTGGAAAGTTTTCGTACAAGCCTTTCATGTTCTGCAGGTATAGCCAAACCGCAGGTCGACCCTGCATCACAATTTGCTGATGGAGATGAACCAGTCGTCTGTCTACTCCCCTCTGCCATCTCTGATAATGTTCTGCTCCTTCTCCTCCTGGTAACTGGTACTGCCAAATACTGTACCTCGCTGAAACTGCAGTCATCCACGCTCTTCCACGCCTTACCGGTGTTCACAAATTTACCTTTTCCCTTGGACGAGTCCGTATCCAACATGTCCCCGTTTGAGCAGGTCCTGTGTAGCTTGTGGTCTCTACTTCGCACGCTGCACAGAGATTCCAGGTCGGATTCAGAGTTACTGTCGGTAACACCTCTGCCACTCCTGCCGCTGGCCATCGTCAAAAACAATGGCAGACGACATGAATGAATGGTCCTCTCGGCAGGGGGGCACTCTAACATGCACCGTCGAACTGGACACAACTTTGGGGCACAGGTACTTTTCCCAGGCCTGATCTGGGCCCCTGAGGCGAGTAGAACAAATGTCTGACCTATGTGGCTACTTACAGAGGCGTATCTGGCCGCGATGGGCCGCAGAAATCGAGCAGTGCGAGTGTAAACAAGGCACCACGGACGTGTTCGGTGAGTCTCAGATCAGTTGAACTGGCAGCAGCGAAGTCTTGGGGGTACAGCAACACCGCCGGTACCGCCGCGAATTCTCCAACTCCTTCCTGAATTAACTGACATAGACCTCTAACCGGTAGTGACACAACCTTGAGGACACGTCATAGTGGGCCATGACGATAGAGGACCGCAATCCATACGGGAAATCGGCCCGAGTAGTCTGAGTAAATGCCAGGGTCTGCCCAAGGCTATCGTCCCACGCTTTCCTGATTCTCAACCCCAGCTGCACCGCCAACAAACAACACCAACAAAACTAGCAAATAACAAATAATATTACGTTAGACGCATATTAGTAGACAAACGAAAAAATATAGATTCATAAAATATTTTTAAAACGTATTTTTCTGTCGTTTTTATGTAACAGATACGAGATAAATGAAAATATTTCTTTTATTTCAAAATATTATTGGCGTTAAGATGCTGTCTTGCCCCGTATGGTCAGGTAGTCAGGTCACATTCCGCTAATTCGTTGCCATAGTTGCAATTTCGTCATTAGGTAATTAATAGTAATACCAATGACAAGCCTCTGTTTTTCTGCTCGGTTTATCCGGATATCAACCATGTTTATGTGAAATAAATCGTAGAAGAAAGCGGAATGTGCACCGGAGCAGAAGAATCCCCACTACGAAGTTACACGAACGGTTGAAAACGGGGACGGCTGTGACGAATGACGTCACTAACCCTTCGCCGTCTTCATGTTGTTGGTCCAAGCTCCTCCGGGTACTGCAAATTTGCTAGAGCTGGAAGGAAGCATGTGTGACTCATATGTGGATACGAGGAGATAGAGATGCTGTCGAGGTGCATCTCAGTATGTTAATGGTTTTACAACTTCTCGTGAGAATGACGTCACTTCGAGTAAAATCAATATTGACAATAGTAGCGTAACTGTTACTGATAAAATGATGACCTACATTTGTATTCTAGGCTTTTTTCAGGCATAAGATCTCATTCACAAAAGATATACACGGCCACAACTTGTAAATTTTATGGATGACATCCGCGCGCATTGATTTTCGCCTCGTTTTGTAAAAAAAAAAAAGAAATTTCGTTCCTCTTGAGCTGTTGAAGTGGCACTAGTGAGGTAGCCTTGGGTGAAATTGTAGAAGTGAGACTATGTAGCTAGTGTGTAGTCGATACTAGGCTATAACTACCACATTGTATCACTTTCGCCGGCATGCACTTCTTGAATGTATAATAAATTAGAGTCGTGTTGGCACTTGGCAGTGATGCCATGTTTGTCGCTTCAATTCTTGATACGTACAACGTCGTGTATCTTCAACGCCCCCCCCCCACTCCCAACTCTTTTCGCGCTCTCGTATAAATATGATGTCATCCATTGAATTTATTTGCTGCGCCCAAGGAGGTTATAGGTGAATACTAAAGTAACCCCCTTTCTTCTAGTGTGCATCAATGCAAGAGCCACTCACTCGGAGATGTTTGAGATAACGCCCAAAAGCATGTTTATGGTCTGCCCACTTGGTTGCCGTTTTCTGGGAAACGCAGGAAGACTGGGTTACTGCCCCAGTTGCAAACCTACCGGAAATGCGTCTTGAGTTGTAAGCGATATAAACTCACGGCGAGAATGTACACAAAGCGTTACGTATACGTATTTACCTGATACTGGCATACTCAGAAATAGTCATGTACAATGTATATGTTCTTCCTTTGTGTGTGTGCTCGCACAAAAAAATGCATGATTAGTAATTAGTCCCAGGTATTCTAAGCAGAGTTGTTGCTTTACCTCATTTCATAATCTGTACGTCTTCACTGAAATTGTAGTTTGTTTACTGGTTGTGACCAGACCCCCAGAGTTGTGACGAAACAAGTTCTATCAACATATCTGCATGGAAATTAGGAAAGTTGGAAAGTGTTTATCAGATTAGCAAGGAAAAGTTCCCGCATCCCGATGATGATGGCATGTACAGATTTACATGCATTTCACGTACAAGATTAAGAGTGTGTCCTTATCTCGCCATGTAAAATACAATATTCATTGGTGAAATGGATATTCATTACATGTGAAGTAAAAAAAAAAACATGCCATAGATAGATGTGAACTTAAAAACAACACGCCCTGTGCCTATTCATCAAACTAAAAGCATACGTATCTGCGATTTGTTTTTCTAGGCGACTCCAACTCCAAGGGAGGCCTTTATAATCCTTATTCAAAGTTTAATTTAAGGCGTTTTCGAAGTTTGATCAGTTGAGTGTGTGAAAGCGACGTGATCTGGGGGCGAACCGGAAAACAGGGAGAAGACCTTAGATCCTCCCACAACTCAGTGGGGACAAGCAATGCAAGGTCATCCATCCCTCCATCCATCCATCCATCCATCCATCCATCCATCCATCCATCCATCCATCCATCCATCCATCCATCCATTCATTCATTCATTCATTATAATACTTGTCCGTTCACACAATAACAAGTTCGTAAGGAAAACTTAATCGATGCATGCCGTGTGTTTTACCAGGCAAACTGGCGCGACTCTTTGACGCCCGCGGGTGTCACGGTATAATAGGTATTGGTTTCAAGTTGAAAGTGAGACCTCCTGTGACGTCTGCATACTACATCTACCTAGCCTCCTGTGCAGGCCCCCCGGCGGTGGGGGAATGGAACCTTCTGTCGGTGGCTATGTAGGATGGTCGGCTATATTAAAATAATGCGTTAAAAACTCTTCCCCACCGCCGCGGGGCCTGCACAGGAGGCTAACATCTACCCCACCAATGATGCGGTCATGACGGAAACGACAGCACTCCTAGGAGGCTACACCCTAGTTGCGTAAAGCCTTAAGGGACTCGTACGCGTATCCGGCTCGGTACGGGCGAGGTCACCTGCGCCTGGAGGAGTCGCGAAAGTCATTAACACTGGCCTTGTCCTACAGGAGGTTTGACGTTAACAAAGCTTCCCGGAACTGTCTGTAAAAAAGACACATACGTAACACATGTGAGAGGTTAGGGGTGGAATAGATTATTACATCTCATGATCAGTTTGCGTCACAAGACCTACTTCCAAGTGCGTTGGTGCGCATCCGAATCTCTGAGAATGTCACCGCTCATCATCTCACGGGGGATAACGCAAAAAGCCTCTCTTTTCTGAAAAACGCGCGGGCAAAGAAAATTACTAGTAGTTCTTCTTTCCAATAAACTTATTGTAATTTTCTCCTCCAGCATGTATTTGAACATCCTCAGGCCCTCCAAGAAGCCCATAAACCCATTTCTGCATGAAAAGGGCGTGCGTTTTCTCAAATGATAATGCTGTTGGATACTCACTGTTGATTTAAAGGTTGGGTGTGTAGTCATTGTTTCAGAACGTGGCAAACCTTTCCACAACAGTACTTAATTTTGGAAGTAAATAGGAAACTCACGACTTGTGATGAAGTGGCAAACACGTAGGCAAACTGGGAAGTCACGTATGTATCTTTCAAGGCTATCGTACCGTACACTGTCTTATTTTTCACTGTGTGGGCATCAAGTTTCTGAAGGGTGTTTGAAAGCAACTCCCGCCCGTTTTGCTCACCCTTTACGGTTTTCACCCGCCGAAGTTGATCTGGCATCAGAGGGGAGCAACCCCCTCGCACCTGTACGGTCTGAATGTTATAATGGCGACCTCTATCGGAGCTAAGAGGTATGCAGCACGAAAAAAACAAGAGAGAAGGATTCTGGGATATTGAGATGGAACTATTTTCTTCATAGGGGATTGGCCGGACGGCCATGGCCTGGCCCTTGGTACCTCAGGAATTTATTCAGTATCATTCTGTTATAGCCTATTTTTACATGATATTCTTTCTAAATTTTTATATGTTTGTAATTATAGCATCCAATTATTTTCAATGTCCCACTTTTATGGCCTTTCTATTAAGGGTATTTAGCAAGTGGTATCGTCCTGCTATTTGAGAGCATCCTTTTTGGGACGAAGCACGTTGTCGTCCACCCGAGCCCCTGGCTATAAATTAAAGTACAAGCTGTGGTTGGCTTACTTCTCTGCACAAACTCGCTCTACAAGGTGTTAAAACCATCAAGCCACAGACCGAGGCAGAAAGGTGAGTATTCGTTGATGAATTTGTTTGGTCTAGGCTAGAGTAGAGTTGTTTACCTCAGCTGAGCTGAGTTTAAAATAGGTAAACCTAACCTTTCCTTGAACCTCCTTGCTAAACTTGTTTACGTGGGGTTTTGAAGAACTATAGTCGCCTTTTGGCTTCAACAAGTTTCGCTGTTTTCGAGTGTGTCAATAGCCACGTACTTACTATGATCATCTGGGCATCCTACGACAAGCATGACCCATATCCACAACTGTGTTACACAATAACAAATGGCTGTGTTACGCAATAGGAACCAATTTGGTCATACTCATAGCAAGGACATAATTTATACTACTGCATAATGCCCTTGGTCATAGCTAAAGCTAATTCTTATGCGTTTGATACGAAATATTAAAGGTGCATGGTCTTGTTATAAAAGACACAATTCCTAGCTTACACAACGTGCATGACCCACTTTCCGTTCCATCCTTATATGATTTTAATGACCTTATCCATATAAACAAGGTCAACCATATAGGACATTCACGCAAAGGTATTATGCAAGGCAAATCTTTTAACTTGCATAACCAGCTAAATCTAGAAATGTTTGATTCTATAATGGTATCTACCCTTCAAGGTATGTACTGATAGATGTATAATATCAGTGTTGAATCTCAGAATCAATGAACAAAGGTTAATTTGGATGGGTAAAGTTAGGAAATAGATAATGCAAGATTTGAGTTGGTCATCCGTTGTATTACCGGTCAGAAACCATGGATTTGATCCTCCTTTAATTCAGCACTTTGAGTCATCAAATTACCATTTCCAAGGACATAATACCATTAGGTTAGCAGTGGCCACAATGTTAACATTTTTACCTTTACACTATTACATTATTACATTAATGTTTGGGTTTAAGACACCAAGAGTAAAGTGTCCTATGGTTGACGGGACTATGGCATAGAACAAGCATGATTAGCAGATAGCATCATTTGTGTAGAGTACTGAACAGCTTGATAAATGTCACCTCACTGTGTCACCTTGTTTCTCCCCCTTCTGTTGTTCAGGAAATCCCCACCATGTCTAAGGACATCATGATGGTGCTGGAAGGCCTGGGGAAGGTGGGCCAGGCACTGGGATCCTCTCAGCGTGTGCACCTGCGCCAGGTGTGGAACACCTGCAGTCTGCAGCAGCTGCTGCGAGAGGCACGAGGACAGGTGGACGGTGCCGTGGGCATGGCGAGATCAACACAGGAAGGAGTGAGGGTAAGGGTTTGAAAATGTGAAGCAGCTACTAGGTTTGCTGATGATACATAGCTTGGTTTATTTATTATAATACCAGACCTTTTTAGCTCCCGAGTCTTTATCCCCCGCAACTATCAGTGGCAAGACTTGGGAGTTAAAATAGGTCAGATAATCAGGCTGGATGCTGCCATATTTGTTGTGTTCAATGAAGTTGGAAGTGTGAAGGATTATGATGAAACGTGATGACAAACTTGTTTCCTTTTTCAGTCTACAATCAGAAGAACGATGGACGACATAGAGACATCAGACCTGGGAGAGAAGTTCAACATGGCAGCAGATACAGCAGACTTCGACACAACATCACCACCACCAACTGCAGAACCAGCAACCGACAACAGAACAGGCAACTTTAATAGTACCACTGCTGGTATCAATGTAAGTTTTTATTCAAAGATTATATTATAGTGCTCTGCATATGTAATGTAGAGGTCAGCTTTCTTTGGTATTCCCTACATTTGCACTTTTGCAGTCTTCATGCCCCCCTGACCAAGGCCATAATCTTGTATCTTCTCAATAATTTATGTTTGCAACAAACACAAGCTGTAAGAGAGATGGATTGTTCAAAGGATGAGTGATATGGATGTAAGTTGTGTCATCAGGGCTAGGGTTTGATCAATTTTATCTCTCCCAGAAAAATGGCTCAGCCAACTTCAGTCAGCCGACAAGAGGCTTCCACTATGATGCGACCACACCACCAGTGACATCAGATGTCTTAAAGAAGAGTGAACAGAAAAAGGAGGAGAAGAAACCCAAGCTATCTGCCATCAGACCCAAAGTAGCACCAAAAGTCTTCAAGTCTGTCGCCAGGCAAACTGTAAGTGTTGCTATTCTTCTGTTTTATGCATGTTCCCATCTGGTATCAAACTTGGTGTAGATGTATATTGTATCTCCGATTTCAAAATTTTCTATGATAATGTTGACAGTTGAAGTGTAGTTTATTAGAATGAACTTTTTTGTTGCTTTTTGAAGTGACATGTATGATCATTTTTCTACAGCTGAGTGACCAGGCCAAGGCCAGGGCTGTACCTGCCAGCAGGATCAGCAGACTGGTCAGCTACGGAGGTTAGATCATCTCATTACAACAGTCTCATAGTCACTAGTTAGCAAAATTCTTTGTATGTGATCAAAGAGTATACAAATGTACTAGTATATCAAACCAATTTTTGACACAGAATTATACATCTTGTGATGCTCTTGCATTTTCAGGTCTTGCAGCTGGGTTGGGTGCAGGGGCCCTTGCTGAAGTGACAAGAAGAGGATTGGGTTTGTCTGACAATAGTAAGTAACTGTGCTCTTCTTACATCAATTTTGATTTATCTGGTTTGATAAAGCTTGACAGATCATGGAGTTCATAATTGTAGTTCATTCACCCTAAGTGTGGAAGAACTACAATTATGTTAATAAAACACGGCTTATCCATCAGTTTTGATCATGATACACTAAAAGTGAATTTGGCCCTGACGTTTTTCTTGCAGAAGGTGGAATTGCCCTGCTAGACTCCAGCCCCTTCCTCACACAGGCGAATGCAGAGCGCATTGTGGACACTCTGTGTAGAGTTCGCGGGGCTGCACTCAAACTGGGACAGATGCTTAGTATCCAAGGTGATTTTCCTTTTCTTTACATTTCATATCTAAGGGAAGATAACATTGTGTTTTAAAGTATACAAACTTGAAATGATATGAAGCAACTTTTTAGAATGGTGTGTGGCAAGATTGATTTTGGATTGTGCACATCTGTGTGTGCAAAGTTTTCATGTTGCTAATAGTAACAGTAAAAAGTCATGCCCTTAGAAATCAGTCAGGTACTGTGAAATTGGCAGATACTTGAGTTGAACCGAGTCATTTATTGTATCCTGTAGAAACAGTAATGTTGAATCTAACTTTACAGACAACTCAATGATGAACCCACAACTGCAGAGAATTTTTGAGCGGGTCAGACAAAGTGCAGACTTCATGCCTCTGTGGCAGTTGGAGGTAGGCCAGGGTGTCATCTAGATATCCTAGACAAATATAACAATGACTGGTTTATTCTTGGTGTCCCTTGATTCCAGAGATAGTAAATTCCTTTTTGGTAATGATAATGAATTAGTCTCAGGCATCATACCTTTTGGACCTTTTTTTCCAACCATAGAAAGTATTGGTGAAGGAGCTGGGAGCAGACTGGAGAGACAAGCTGGCATCATTTGAGGAGAAACCTTTTGCAGCAGCATCCATAGGGCAGGTTCACAGAGCCAAGCTGCATGATGGCAGGGAGGTAGCCATGAAAATACAGGTATGGAGATCAGCACGACTAAATTGCATCCCATGTTTCTGATGTATAGTGAAATTTGGGTATTCTTGGCTCTATAAATGAGTTTCTTTTGGAGAGGGGTAAATATTTAGAAGTTGATTTAAATGATATTCATTGGCTTAGGGATTACTGTTTTAAAAGCTTCCCATGAATAGAATATGGAGTATTCTTTGTAAAATCTCAGCTTAAACCTCCTATATTGGATGTTGGTATTAAACCGGATTTCAGATGTTATTGATATTGAAGTTTCCATTATAGACTTTCTAACCCTGTAACAAAGTGCAATGTAAATATTGTCCACACAGTACCCTGGTGTTGCCAAAGGAATCAACAGTGACATTGATAACCTGATGACAGTCCTGAGTGTGGCTAATGTCTTACCAGAAGGTATTGATAATGTTTGTCTCATATGATTTAGTGGCTTGTGGGGAAGATTAGCTTGCAGTAAGATATTGGTACATTCACTTACCAATGCATTCCTAGGTGGTGTTACAGACTTTCTAAACAAAACCAGCTTCAAAAACTTTGTTTTGAATCCACATCCAAATGAGCAGTAGCAAATCTATTGCTTTAAATTCAAGTCTCTTTTTAAGTCTTTATGTTTAAGAACATGTGTAAATGTTTGGCATTCAGTTTTCTTTCATTTAGATACTTACCCTTCATGTTTGTCAGTAATTATGGCCATGCCCTCCCCAGGCCTGTATGTGGACAAGTTGGTGGACGTTGCAAGGAAGGAACTGTCCTGGGAGGTGGACTATATCAGGGAGGCGGAGATGACCAGAACGTTTGGGTATGGCTGGACTGATTCCTGATCTGTAGCAGTAGCCACCCATTGTCTGAAATTTCCTTCTTGTATAGATAATAGTACGATTTGACTATTAGATCTCTCCTAGACTTACAAAAGTTATCTATGTTTGTAAAGTTACAATTTGCACTGAAGCAGGTGCCTATAATCTATGTGTTATGTTATGTGTTATGCTTATTATCTCTTTCCATAGCATAGGTTAGGTAAGGCTGTAACTCATGATATATTTTAAGCTTATCATACATCAGATAGATTTGTACTAGCACTGTGCATAACTGGTTACAGGGAGTTGCT